TCTCAGGGCTGTCTCATTTTAGTCCTGACGCAGGTACCAGATCTGCTGCTTGGTGTTACCACAGCACCCCTGTTACAGTCAAACAGCTCTGATGTGAGTGAGCTGGGTGCAAATATGAAATTTGCAGCAGTTTGTGGCATTACCGATGCAACCAAGCACAGCACTGGGCTTGCTGCTTGGAAAGACCAACAGCCACAGATCCAGGAGGGTCAGGTCTGGTCTCTGCCATTCCCACGTCAGATGTTAGCACTGTGCTTCCAGGCACGCAGTGGGGGAAAGGAACTGTCAGCTGAAGGAACATCATTCATTTCTACCTTCAAATAAAAGCGCCTGACTTGAAACCTCCACTGGATTATGGCAGCACTGCCTGGCTGGTGTAGCACACTTTTGTGAGCCATGTGTTAGCTGCAAGAGATGCTACCTGCAGCATCTAAGAGAAGGAAGAACAAAGGTAATCAGTGGAAACACCTAACTCTGTGGTTTCTTCTTGCTGCTTCTTTTCTGATTTTGCTTAAAAAATAACCGCAGCTGACTACGATAAGCATTTCTGAGTGCAAGAGGGATAATCTAGTTGCATTATGGAAAGATTAAATACTTTCGTTTTTAATCTCACTTTCACACAGAAGGATCAAGATCTTAACATCAAAATATAATGCAAGGTAATGAAAAACATTTGTACATTTTCTTCTGCACTCCATCGTCATAAGTGCACTCATGTGACTAGAGAATTATAAATTATTTAAGAAAATACAGCAAGGAGCTCGTTCTAAACATGGTTTCTTCTGCCTGCTGATACATCAGCAAACAGAAGCATTTAAGGAGCCCACAGCACTGTCCCATTTGGACTTGGGTATTGCCCCGGTGACTGCAGCAGCTGTTCCTGACACGGGAAGCACCATGCTGCAACCTCTCTGTAATGCAGTGACAGGAGCTGGAATCACAGAATCCCTGAGTTGGAAGGGATCCCTAAAGGCCATCTAGTTCAGTGAACAGGGACACCCACAGCTAGATCAGTTGCTCAGAGAGCCCTCCAGCCCAACCTTAAGTGTTTCCAAGGACGTGGCATTCACCACATCAGAGGCAACCTGTTCCAGTGCTTCACCACCCTTACTATAAACAACTCCTTTCTTACATCCAACCTAAATCTGCCCTGTTTCAGTTTGAGACAGTTTCCCCTTGTCCTGTCACAACAGACTCTAGTAGAGTCTGTTCCCTTCTTTCTTAGAGATCCCCTTTGGTTACTGAAAGAAAGTATACACTAACAGCAGTGTCCTAGTATTAGGGCAGCTCTGCAGCCGTGCCTGTGGACCCCTGTCCTCAGGGTAGGACCACATGGAGAGGTTTGTTGTGCGTTCACTAGCACCCCCAATCTAGATCCTTCAGCTAGGCATAAGAATGCTTCACATTTATGAAGTTTTTGGGAAGCTGATGAAAAATACCCTTGTTGCCTTGCAGATTTAGTTAACGCTGCAAAACAGAAGCAGTGCCACAGCCTCATTTTTATCTACTTAGTCCTCACCTAACAGAACAGGGGCAGTCAAGTTCTCCAAGCCTCTCTCCCACCGCATACAGTGTGTGTCTGCCACCAGCATCTATGAGCAGGTGGCCCTGTCTTCTCAAGGCCCTTCTGACACTTGCAGCAGCTACAACAGCCCACAGGTACCTGTAGAAATGGTATGGTGTTTATCACTTTTTTACACTGCCCCAGGCCATTCCGGTAGGCATTTTGGTACTTACCAAAGAAGGATTACTGTTCCAAGCTTATTTAAAAAACAAAACAAAACAAAAGGAATGACTAATATTAAATGCATTAGTCTGGTGGCCTTCTACAGAACAGGTCTCCCATTTTTTGCATTGTCTTCAGAAGTCTTCAACAGACAAGAGAAAACCAAAAATAAAAGTACCAGAAGCATAGCAGACATGCTGAAAGTGGTTGAAGGCAAATACCAATTCATCATCTCCAGAATTGCAGTCCATGTCTAAAGTACAGCATTAAAAATCCTGGCTGTCACCAGTTAGCTAAGACACTCATGAGGCACAAGCCTTCCCATTTCTTCCTTTTCCAACTACGTGCCCCTGGAAGGCTGCACCCCATCAGATGGCTCCTAGAAGAAAGCAGCTTCCTCCACCCTCTTTGCTATCTGCCATAAAGAAGTAAGATAGATTGGGAGGAAAAACATGACTGCAAGCAAGCTCATTAAGTGGAGAACCTGCATAATTCTAAATCTGCATTCTGATAATATATGTATATATATATATATACACACACATACACATATATATATATACAGCCATTTCCACTGGAAACAACTGTTTCCTAAAGAATCAGCCTCCAAAGTCACACATCCTCAGGCAACCCAGAGACACTGGCTCAGTAGATGAACGCACATCTGCCTCTCCCCATGCACTTACAGCCACCTCTGTTACACATTTGCCCCGGTGGGGACAGCCTCCTTACTGTGCTTTATTAGCAAAGAGCAGATTTTATTCCCAGATCCAACAAGGCTCTCGCCATTCCCCTGGTTCACTTAAAAACTCCACCCATAAACACTGAGATGAGCTGTTGCCCTCTGAACACGCTTTAAAATGAATGCTGTGTTGCTGGACTACAAGGAAACAACCAACATTTTCTAAGAATATCAGCAATTAAGGAAAACTAAGTTAAACTGCAGCTAATGCCAAACCACGTAGGAACTCAAATTTCTGAAGCTTCTAGCATCAAGCACACAAAAACGATTGAAAAAATAATTCTAACAGACTGTCTGCTACAGGCTGGATTCTCTTTCCAAGAAAAGTTCCAAAGTAGTTCCTGTTGCTGGGCATTATCAAACACATCCTCCTCCTCACCTCTGTTAGCTGAGAGCAAGGGGAACAGTGGAGCAATGAAGGATTTTCCAGACATTGTAATAGCATTCTGGAGCCTGCTTACCATTAGCACATAGTTTTATGTTGTAAACTATCCCTCCTTCCATTCCTTATTTATAACACCCTGTCATATTAAGTAAAGCAGAAATCAGGCAAAAAAACCCAAAACAAAACAAAACCCAAACAACCCTCAATATCGCAGGACAGTGTTGCACAAATCAAAGCATGGACCCAACAAGCACCTGCACTGCACATCATTGTTATGGGTCTGAGATGCAACCACCGCTGCTCTCGTTCTTCTCAGATTTGTCTTACATCATTCCCCTCTTAACTCCTCACAAGGGTGAGTTGTTCCAAACTCTTTTATTTTATATACAGGAGGTTTGTCTGCACGAACAGGAGCCCACAGCAAAACTACAGCTATGCAGCTGCTTGAAGGCAGCTACAAAACCAGCAACTTCCATCTAGTAAGAAAATCCAGGATCTTGATAGAAGGCAACCTTGTTTTGAATCAGTGATAGCAAACCACTCCAGTAACTGTGGAAAGCAGAACAAAAACCCTGTTAAGGTTTATTCCAACAACGTAAGCTTTGGTATTTTTCCATTATACATGGAAGAAAGAAAAGGTTAAGAAAAAAAAAAAAGACCCTAGCAAGCAGTACCAAAATTGGATCTTCTGAATATTCTCCCTAAATGGATTGTACCAGTGGTTAGTAAGATCCTGTGAAAATCAGAAGTCTCATCATGTGCCTGACCATGGGCAGATCTCAGAGAGTTTGAACTTTATTGACATAGAAGCTTCAGTCAGAAACATTCCAGTTTGGTCAATGTGTTTAGAGCAAAAGTTGGCTTGAACTCTGCACTGACAGCATTGGTGCCTTTCCTACCACTCAGTGTTAGTAAAATGCAAAGTCAGAGTGGCAAAGCTCAGAGTCCCCGAGAGGAACCCAAGATAATCAGTAAGCCAGTTTCATACACAGATAAAATATTCCTGCAGATTAATATGACTGTAAGGCTCAGATACAGCTTGTGTGTTAGAGTATTACGACTGTCATTTGAACTTGCAGTGTTTATTCTCCGCACTGCACTGACGTCCCTCTGAATGGGAAAGCACTTCCTGCTCACCACGATGCTTTTTCAGAATCAAAGAAAACTGTTGGAAGTTGCCTTTGTTAAGCTGTGCTCATCAGGAGGCTTCAGAAGCTACCAAACAGACCGCTGAGCCCTTACCCAGTATTTTTGAAAGTCCCTTGGGTTTATAAAGCTCTAAAAGAAAAAAGTGAGTTAGCATAATTCAATATTAGTTTCGTACACAATAGAAGACAACTTCATAGCTTGGTATAACTCTGTCTGGCCTGCAGTTTTATAACACAGCAAATTACACAAAAGGTGGCAATAGGATTACCAGCATGTTAAGCTAACTGGGGAGTGAAATCCCATGGAAAGCTTTAATCCTGCCAATGTAAGAAAGCATCTTTGACTTCTTGGAGGAGAAAGAGGAGAGAAAATGCTTACTTGAAAAAGCACTTTAAGCAGGTAAACCTAGCAGTGTGAGGCATAGAAGTAGGCTAAAGCATGAGTTCATGATGCAAATGGATCACTCACTGGATGACTCTCTCAGGATGTACCAAATCCTATTATACACAGTTCAACTTATTTTCCCTGCAAGCTGGAGAAGCAAATTTACATCATCCCAGAAAATGCTAGAAGACACAGCTTCAGGAGCACTTTTTTTTTTTTCCCCTTAGATTTATACAGGATTTCCTTTAAAGAAAAAAAAATCAACAAAAAAAATACAACCCACCAAAACAAAAAAAGCCAAACTCTTGCCATTCTTACGGAAAGGTCCTTCTGGAACACACTTACCTCAATTTTGTCTGTCTGCTTTCTGACATTCCCTGGTATAGCAAGCAGGGTCCAATTAGCACTGGATAGAAGGCAGCACATGCGTAGTCTCAGCTTTCACAAAGTGGATTTTTTAATCAGACCAGTTAAATGCAATCTACAATTTTGTTTTGTTCGCATACACTAAAAAGACCTCTGGAATATTTCAGTTTAACTGCTTGACAACTGCTCTCAGCTAGAGCAAAGTGACATAACACACACGGTGCTCATCAATAAACACTGCACGAGTATTTAAAAAAAGTGGAAGTTTATTCATCTTTGAATGGCTCAAATAGCAAAGAAAAGGACAGGGTAAGGCATCAGCCGAGACAAGTTTCGTATGTCTGGTGGCTTCATAACACCTCAGCTCCCAGCAGACAGACTCCAAAGCAAAGTCACAATGTTAGTGGTTAGACTCCCTGGCTAAGTAGACCAAAATGAGTACACAGGAAGATGATGTCTGGCTCATTTGCCATAGTTACATGAGTAACTTTAATTCTGCACTTGGCAGTCTACTAACACACATACAAAATTCCTACTGATAAATATTTAACGTGACAAAGATAACTTCTAAGACTTGAGCCCCTAGAATGTCCGTTAGCACGAAAGTTAAATATTTGTTACCTAGTTTGCTTGAGCACATTTTAAACTGTCAGTTATAGGCTTACACATGTATAAAAAGTGTAAGTTTGTGGAATTGATCCAGCCCACCTGGCCCCAGAGGAGTCCAAAACCCTCAAACCTTCTGGTATATTTTTAGTTAAGATGCAGCACACTCACTCATCACGTGCAGGTATTCCTGCTATTCTGAAGCAACTGAGGCAGTACATTTTGTTTGGGGATTTTGGATGTCCACGGTAAATGTTTCTGTATTGTAAAAGCATCTTTGATTGTTTAATATCAACATTAACTAGAAAAAGTAGCTACAATGTTCCCCATTTTAAAATCAACATAAAGTAGACTAAACAGTACAAAACCTGCAGCGAGCTTCAGCATAACACACTGTGTTCCTGCAGCTGAGTGTCAGGAGCACAAAAGAAATTAACCGATGGCACTGGAATTTCCCAGACAACATCTTAACTCAAAACACAGCAGCGCTACTGAATCAGCTCCACCCCACCCTACTCCAGGGAGTTTAAACCCAAGGAACACCTAGACAAACATCTACTCGCACAGGGAAGCTTCAAGGTATCAGTACGTTAAGTTCTAAGCAGCCATTCCAGGCTCGGATGTGCCACAGGCTTTTGACTTCCATCTTACACGTATTCTGACCTTTCAGCTATAAGATGCCATATAGTTCACCAAGCTACAGATGACTGAATATGCTCTGTATTATTCACAAAACCATAGGATGGCACACATCTGAAGAACAGACACCGCTAGCAGACAGCTAGTTAGCGAGATCATTCCTGGAACTGCACTCTGCTGAGAGGGCAGGCTCGCACTGATGCGCAGGGAGAGTCTCCATGCAACAAGCTGAAAATACACCCTTGACTAAGCAACCTGCTGCTTTAGGTTTTAAAATTAAGGCATGTTCAAATGCTTCAATGTAGAAGATTACATCACTCTTGTAGGTTAATCAGGTAATGCGGAGCCACGTAGAATTTTCCTCAGCATAACTGTTGGCATGTACATTATTCTTTCCTGCTTTGCACAACTCCATGGCAAAACCACCTCCTGTTAGGTATCACGTTCACAACTGGAATTTTCAAGGCAACGAAAGACAAAGTGACAATTATCAATGATAAAAAAGTATGCTTTACAAGAAACCACAAAGTAATATTTCCCCCCATTTACTAATAAAGAAAAGACTCCCCATGAAACACTACATTCAGAAGAAATGTGAGAAGGTAGGCGATCATGAAATGGTTTGCTTCTCTTGAAGCCACATCAATCTTTTTCAGTGAATTTGACTTTCAGTGCAGCTCCAATTCATGCTTTTAGTGGTACATTACAATTTCCAACATGTTAGAGTAATTTCAGTCACTTGAGCCTTCAATGGCATGCTGATAAATTATGGTTTTTTATTAGTATGGTCAAAGTAGGAAAGGAATTCGGGGTTTTGATTATAAAATGCAACATCTTTCTCTGATCCTCTTAGCTAGGCTTTTTCTTTTCTTCTTTCCATTCTTCTCTTTGCTGTCCTCCATTTTTCTGGCTCTAATTTCTCTCATCAAATCAAAAAACACCTGGAAAAGATGGAAGAACGTAAATGCCAAAACACCATCAGACCCCTGAGTTACTTCAGGTTATCACTGATGACATCTACTTCTGGTGGTGAGAATACAATCAGTTACACATCATCAGTCTGAGCAAACAAAGACTAACCCAACAAATCTCTCACTGGTTTTCAAGGCCAAGTTCAAGTGATGCACATCTGCTTCTTTCATGGTACCTGTAGCTCAATTAGCTTCTGCTGTTTGCTTATGAACCCTGTCAGAAGAATTAAAGCAAGACTCATATCGCTATCTGGGGTTTTATTTTTGCCCCCATTTCCTATCCACATCTTACATCTTACCCTGAGGAGACTCAGGGAAATCAGTTTACATTTTGAGACTATTCAGTGATGAACTGCAAAGATTGAAGCACTGCTACCATTAGTTCTAGTAGCACACACTAAACATTTCACAGTCACTGTGCCCCATGATGCAAATCTAAACAAAAAGTGCAGAAAAAATGAATTAGCATTCCCTTTACACACGGGTTATCAACCATACAACTACATAAGCTATTTTCAGATTAGGTATCTCAAAGTGTGCATAAACTTCGTTATTATCAAGTAGGAAACAGAAGTTGGAGACGTATCAGTGACTCATTTACGAGAGGAAAGATTGTAAGCTAAGGCCTATGACAGGAGCCTTAAATTACTTCATTCATTAAGACAATCTTGCCTTAGAGAGGGCTACAGAAAAGAACTGTTTCATCTTTGTTATCATAGGAGATCATTTGAACAGTTCTAAAACTTCTCCACCAGGAAGACTCCCCTCCTGATCTGTCAGGGGGCTTGATCCATTTCTATGCAGCACAGACAGTGCAAGGACTGAAAATCTCTTCTGTAAGAACACAGCAGGTATTTTTATCTGCAATCACACTAATCTCTACTGACTGCAGCAAAAGCATGAACTTCCATTACAGAGGATATGAGGAAAATCAATGCAACTATGTGTCTCCATCAAAAAATACAAGTGCCTTTAGGATACTACACGTTGAAATTGCTTGCTTTACGTAAACCTCTATTAATGGTAAGCTGCAACTGTCAGCTTGCTTAAGCCTGGCACTGTATCACAGCATCTGGGATACGTAACCTAGTGTGAGAAAATCTTCCTTTGCTTACTGTTGTTACCAGAGTGAGTGAAAGCTCAAGCCCACCCTTCTGGAACTTAGAAAAGAACATTTTTTTATAGAATACTAACGTAAGTTCATATAATTAACCCTGTAACTTCAGATGCTTTAAGAAAACAAGTAACTAATACCTGGTATTCACTAGGGCCAACAAAGCCTCCTTGGGAGCAGCCCTGCGGAGGACTTCAGGGTTTTGGTAGATAAAAAACCTAACAGGAGTCAGCAGTGTGTGTCAGCTTGCAGCCCAGAAGGCCAATGGTATCTCCTGGGCTGCATCAAAAGAGGAGTGGCCAGCAGAGTGAGGGTGCCTTCCTACTCTGCTCTTGTGAGACCCCATCTTGAGCACCACATCCAGGTCTGGGGCCCACAGCTCAAGAAAGATGTGGACATTTTGATACAGGTCCAGAGGGAGGCCATGAAGACGATCAAAGGGCCGGAGCATCTCTCTGAGGAAAAGAGGTTAAAGAAGCTGGCTTCTTATTCAGCCTAGAGAAGAGACGGATCGGGGGAGAACTCACTGTGGCCTTTCAATACTTAAAGGGAGCTTATGAACAGGAGGGCAATCAACTTTTTGCATGGGCAGGCAGCGGTAGGACAAGGAGGAATGGTTTTAAACTAAAAGAAGGAAGAAGGATTAGATATCAGGGAGAAATTTTTTAACCAGAGGGTGATGAGGTGCTGGAAAAGGTTGCCCAGAGAAGTTGCAGATGCCCAATCCCTGGAGGTGTTCACAGCCACTTTGGATGGGCAGCCTCACCTAGTGCCCGATCTAACGGCTGGCAAACCTGCCTGTAGGAAGGGGATGGGAACCACATGATCTTTGAGGTCCCTTCCAACCCAAGCCATTCTATGACTCATTTACAGATCTTCAGATCAGAACTCTATGTAATACATATCAATCTGGGTCCGTAATGCCACCTGTTCCAAAAAGAAGCCTTGAGCTCTTCAGTAGCCTATCATGTGAATGCAAAAGTTATTGGCTATGTATCTTAAAAATATTCACTTTTGCCCCCCTGCTGCTAAAGGGTGATGAAACAGATTTGGACGACCTCAGAATTTCTGCAAGACTGAAACAGGTGGATGTTAATTGCAATTATGCACTAAAACTAAAAGCAACTGAACTGCTCTACATTTAATTGACTTAATGTTCCCTGCAGAACAGCATGACATTTTTACTTTAGCACTGAACAATCCATTTGTTCACAATGACAACTGGCAGATGACAACAGCAAAGTTTAAGTTATTGCAAAACAGTACTCCTATTACTGCTTTATGCTTCAACTACTCATATGTAAGCATCTACATTAGAAAATTTCTGGGTCATCAAGTCTATCAAGAGGTCTGAAAGAAAAAAATCTGCACTTCAAACTAAGCTTCTCACTTTTGCCAGATACCTATTACTTTTTCAGTCTACAAGGCTGCCAGCTATTCCAACTGCTGTGTTTCAAGAAGTCCTGCCTTCTCAAGATGCAAGTGAAATACTTAGAGCTCATCAGTAATTTATCATCTTTGTGCTTTCTTATGACCTTCTGATCCAGGCTTTATCCCAAAAAGCTCTGGAGGCACTTCTGGGCCATTTAGAACCTAAAAGAGTAAATCCATTCTTCATCGACACAACACACAGGCACGTGGTTAGACAAGGGTAGACAGGATTCCAATCCCTCCCTTGGTTTTCTAAGCCATTTTATTCCTCAGACAGCATTCTCACTGTCTAGAAGCAGTTTTATCTTCCAGTTACAGAAAACACAAGAAGACAAGGCTAATACAATTGCCTCAGTAACTTTTTAACAATAAAAGGTCTTGTCTAATGACTTAACCCATCACAGTTTAGGATGTGATAACTTGCTATGCCTAATGCACGCTCACCGTTTCATATTAAGCAACTCAGTCACACACTCATCACAAGCTACAGGAGAAAAGCATTTGTTTTAAGATCCCCCCCCCCCAAGTAAAGAGGCTAAAATAACTTGAACGTGTAGGCTATGACCCATAGAAGACAAATGTAAAGTAAAAACTGACAGAGATTGTTTTATTATTAGGTGAGTTACGAGGCAAGTCATTACCTTGTCAACATTGGCTCGTGTTTTTGCAGAAGTTTCCACATAGTTAACATTCCACTGGTCAGCTCTGTTTTTTGCTTCTTCTATAGAAACTTGCCTTTTATCTTCCAAATCTGATTTGTTACCTACTAGCAAAAAAGGAACATTCTCATCTTCTTTTACTCTTAAGATCTGCTCCCTAGAGAAAAATAGAAAAGCAAAAAATAAATTACTTTATGGAGTATTTTCTGGAGTACTGTTCTTAGAACACAAGAATAAGAATGCAGATTTAAACACTCCTCCATCCTTTTCCTTTTATACTCGCTCACTCTTTTTATGAAGCTTACATAGCAGCAACATCTTAAACCAAGACAGACTGTTGGTTTTCCAGGAAGATGAATCAGTAACAGATTAAGCAAAGTTGAACAGGTGAGAATTTAAACTAATAAAGTTCTCCTTTTATTAAAGATATTACTTGACACTATTTCTCACTGCATTTTATTATTATTAGCAATCACATTTTTTAATATACCCAGACTACATTCTTACACTCGACTTTTTTTTTTGTGCCACTTTTAAAGCTGATGAAATTAAGTAATTAGGTAGTAAGCTTAACAAGAGAAAAATCTCCTTTCAGGAATCTTTCTGAAGTCACTTATATGCAGCCCCTACAAAGACCTTAATGCAGTTATAAGCCAGCGTAAGGATAACAAGTTGCACATACATCAGATGTTTAAGGAAAGATCCTGTCTGAACCACTCCAATGAAGAGTTTAAATTTATAAACAGAGCCAAGTACTACAAATGCTTTGGTACATCCATCTGAAGAACACTGCTCCTGGAAGACAAGCATTCTCTCTTTTGCCTCAGAAAGCTGTACAAAGTTAGCAATGACATTCAGCCCTCCATCGTGGAACAGTTTCTGAAGATCAACAAGAAGCACAAAGAACCACATTCCCTTTTCTGGCTGAGGTGAAGCCTATTAGCAGATTTCATGTGGAACAGAAAGAAAGTGGGAAGAGTCAACTGATCCTGTAACTATCCTTTGTTTGGGCACACATCAGAATCCTCTTGTTGGTGTGAGATGATTTCCTTTTTGTAGCATTTAGTTTTGTTGAGTTAGTTTCTCTCTTCTTTTAAACCAACAGATATGCATTGGAGGCAGCCTGTAACACCACATTCATCTCTCAGACGTAATTAAAGTAACATTCCTTCCCTCCCTGCTAAATAGAGCAAGTGTTGCACCTGTGCTTGCAGATATTAAGTAGCTTGAATAGCCAGTGGATTAGGATGAGTGAAAACACCAGGATTCAGTGCAACAATGACAGAATCCGTTAGAATAAGACTTTCAGATAAAAGACTAGATATACCAGATTGAAGCCTAAGACTTAAATTCTCTGCAGCCTCTTCTCAAAGCAAGAACACATTTTATCAAATCGCCTTTCAAACATTTAAAAATGTAGTCCTAGCAGATGTGCCTTCTATTGGAAAAAAAATTACCTAAAAGAACGATGGCATTTCAGAGCCCCCTGGAAAACCCATGGAAGATAGCAATAGGGAACAGCTCTGCTGATGCCACTCAAGGAGAACGAAATTCTATGGAAACACTAAAATGTCCAAATTCTTCTTTAGTCATTTTCTTTTGCATCCGTCTCTTAAGTGGTATCATCTCAGGCTAGTCAACAATGCCAAAGGTATTTTAACTGAACCTTTCAGGAGACACAGGGTATTTTTACACAGAGCAGGAAGAATACATTGTTATGGGGCCTATTTTAGCACTTAGGCTTCAGTAGTTTCAAAAACAACTTGAAAAGCACTTTAAGAATTGTACTGGGCAGAGTTTTAATCTCTGCATCAAAGGGCTTCTTTTTCTTCCACTTCTTTCCTGTTTCAGCATACATACTGTCAACACTCACCCTGGCTCAAAAAACAGGACTTCTTTCTAGATTCACAGAAGACGGAAGAGGGCCTCTGAAGAAGCCATTTTGCACTACAGAGCTCAGCCATACTAAGCAGCCCTCCAGGACTGCCATAAGTAGCATAAGCCTGTAAACGAGTCTGGGCTCCTCTCTCCCTCTTTAAAGACACAAATACATACACTCACATACTGAGAAAAAGAAACTAAGAAAACAAACACACACCAGAAGGGGACAAGCTTTCTTTCTCCCCTCTGCATAACTCCTCCTCCACCCTTACAGAAGATTTTAAATGTATTCTATACTTAGTCCTAATTAACCTGAGCTATGATAACATCTCTAAGAACGCTTATTTCAACGAGATGCAGATCATTTCCTTTTACATTATCGCCTTCCAATTTTGCTTAACTTTGAACTGCTAAAATTTTGGGGGAGTGGTGACTTTTTTTACTGTAATATTATATAGCAATGAGATTTTTTTCTTTGTAGATACGTGGAGGGATGAGTGTTTTAAACAGGCTCTCAAGCAAATTTAAATACACATAATATGATGCTGTCCAAATCTCTTACCATTACAAGGGTCTTAATACCTTGCATGCTTGAAAAACACTTGAAAAATAAAGAAAACAACTGGCCTATTAAATCCTCATCCACACCTAGTTGACAAAGGAGAGAGGCCGTGGATGTGATACAAAGATTTTATTAAAGCCTTTGACTCTGCCTTCCTCTGTACCCTCCTGCAGAAGCTAGCAGCCATGCTTTGGACAGGTACACTCTTTGCTGGCTGAATAAAACTGGTTGGAGGGCCAGGCCCAGAGTGGTGGTGAATGGAGCTAAATCCAACTGGCGACCAGAATGAGTGACGTTCCAGAGCAGTCAGTGCTGGAGCCAGCCTTGTTTAATGTCTTTATTAACAATCTGGACAAGAAGATCGAGTGCACCCACAGTAAGTTTGCAGATGACATCAAGCTGGGAGGAAGAGTTGATCTTCCTGAGAGCTGGAAGGCGCCACAGAGGTGGCTGGATGAGCTGAGGCCTATCGCATGAGATCGAAAAGACCAGGTCCAGCATTTCAGTAACAGTAATCCCATGCATCACTACAGACCTGGAGCAGAGTGGCTGGCAAAAGCCACATGGGCCAAAAGGATTCAAGCATGTTAGCTGACAGCTGGCTGAATATGAACAAGCAGTGTGCGCCCAGGTGGCCAAGAAATCAGTGGCATCTGGCTTGTAACAGATAGTGCAGACAGCAGCATTAGGAGATGGCTGTCCATCAGTACTCAGCACTGGAGAGGCTGCCTATTCACAAACATGATTCTTTGCACTGTAGTGTAAGTGTAAAGCAACACTGATTTACAAAAGGCATCTGCTCTGTTGCAGTCATCTCTCTGGCATTCAGAAGCAGAGCAGCAAAGATATCTGAAGCGGCACAAAGATAATAAAGGTATGGTTAGGCATCTATTCAAGGTAACGTGACTACAGTCATCTATTCTGGACTACCAATGATACTGCAAAAAAAAAAAAAAACGGTAAGAACCTCACTATAATTACAATAACTTGCCTTGTAACCTACCTGAAATCTGCAGTAGCTGCAAATGACTCCAGCTCTGTAATAGAGAAAACGCAAAGAAAGCCTTCTCCACTTCGGAAGTAGTTGTCTCTAATTGCAGCATAGTCCTCCTGCCCTGCTGTGTCCAATATATCAATTTGCACCTCTTCCCCATCCAGAACCACCTTTTTCCTGTAGCTGTCAGCTTTGGTGGGCTCATAATCTTCTACAAACTAGAACCAAAAATGTTACTGTTTGAAAACCAGGTCTGCGCAGGGCAAATGCATCTATTTTCTTTATGGATATAACAAACATTTCACATGATCACAATAATAAGTAAGCCCATGTATTCAGACTACATGAAATACTCAAGTTATTCAACATAGCTAAAAGCAGGCTCCCCATCAACCCAAACCACTGACGGGATTGTATTTTTTTCAGCCATTACAAGGAAATTTTAAAAGGAACTGAAAAACATCAGTGGCCGTGCACCAAGTGTCTACTTTTGGTTAAGCACAGCATCTGGCTGCATTTCATTATAGTGTCAGACATTTCTGAGTATATTTAGTATTGATTTTTAAGGGACACCGAAGGCACAGCTTCCATTTCTTAGTCAAAAAGAATGACTTTCACTGACAGAAAAAGGCATATTTACATATTGACGGGTGTCTCTAAAGGAAAAAACTCAGAATTTCAAAGTCAGTTTGGGTTGGAGGGGACCTTAAAAAGCCCACCTGTTCCAATCCCCACGCTGAGGGCAGGGACACCTCCCAGTAAACTAGGTTGCCCGTGGCCCCATTCAACCTGGCCTTGAACACTTGCAGGGATGAGGTGCCCACACTCTGGACAGCCTGTGCCAGTGCAAAAATATTTGTGCTCAATTTAATAGTTGACATTTGTACATCATATACATTCATTAGACCTTTCCAGAAAATAACTGTGCCAATTAATGCTTAAGTAAGAACACTACATAACAGACGTCACACGGGATAATTTAGAGGGGACATTCTTACCTCATCATACATAAACTGTAGTGTTAAAGCAGATTTTCCTACACCACCACTTCCCACCATGATGACTTTATGTAAAGCCAGCGAATTCTGCCCCTTAGGCTTATTTGCTGCCATCTTTGGATTACAGAAAATTCACAGGTATAAAACGAAAACCTAGAAGAAAAAATATCACTTCATTAGTTCTCCCCTTCCCACTGCAGTGCTTTAAATGCATTCATTTCAAATCCCTGCACAGCTCAGATTTAGAGATATTTAGGTTTCAGTTCTGTTACCTTCACTGAAAACCACTTCTTACTGGAAATCATTCTGCAAATTACAACAAGCTCATCATTCTTTTTTTTGGTGGCAAGAAAGCCATCACCATCTGCAGAGGGCACAGGTTCACAGCATCCAACAACAATTAGGGAGAAAGATTTACATTTTGGTACGTGATGGTTTCTGTTACAGACATGGCATTTGGCAGGAATTCCTCTTAGTTTACTAAGAAAGAATTGTGGAAAGGAAACCACAGTGAGTCAAGACAAGAAAGCGTGAGATATGACAGCTGCAGGGAAAAAAACCAGACATTTGAAGGAATTTCCAGCTCAAATAGCAGGCACTGGGACTACAGTAGCATCAACAAGGATTGGTTTCGTGCACTTTTCAGAGAAAACCAGGCAACTGTGTCATTTCAATCCTAAAAACAACCTGTTTCTGCAGGTCAATCAGGAACTGAAAGAACAATCTAGTTGAGGCAGAGTGCAAAGAATCAACTTGTCTCTGCAGACTACAAACACAGTTACCCAACGTGCTACAACAGCTCTTCTAGTCCCACAGCTGCTGGGTCAAACACAGTCTGCACCTCAGCAATGTTATGGGGCTCTGTCACAGTTCATTCCCACACACGCTCTAATGTGTGTGTGCACGTATACAGGAAATAATCCCGTCAGATTTGGGGTTTTCTGTTTTTAAATCACATGGTTTTTAGCAGAACCCCAGCTGTTCTCATCCCTCACCTTCCTTTCATTCCTTCCCTATCCCAATAACAGCATTACTGTATTTGTGTTTAAAGGAAGGCAAAACATTCTGTCTTAAAAACGCAAGAAAGTCTGCACAGATTTACAAGAATGCTTAAAATCTCTTCAGCATCCCCTTCCTCCAGTGATTAAGGTCAAAAGCTCTAATGTCCAAAATGACTTCTGTGTTACAGAGGATGTAAATACACATCTACAACAGCAACAGAACCAAACAGTTGACAAGAAAGCTCAGAAAGCACTCACATGGCAACGCAGGTTACACACAGAACCATCAGACAATAACAGCTCACTAATAAGATGCCTTTACTTCTGACAGTCTCACACTAAAATTACGTTCTGCACTGTGAATCACCATTGTGTGCAAATCAAACAACTGGAACATCAAGAACAACAATTTCCTTGAAACTTGCACCAAAGCCCTTAGCTGAGAACATGTTTTTGTCAGCAGTGAGGCACGTACATAGAAAAGCATGCTGACTGAAATGTCATTAAAGACTGAACCAATCCTTCCTGCAATTAAAGATAAACACAGAAGAAATCTACATGAAGAACTCTGGATCACAACAGTAACGCTGCCTATTACGCTGTCAAAGAACTCTGAAAATGCATTGAATGGCTTAAATTGTTTCTTCCAAAAGGGTTATCCAAGTGAAATGAGCACGAATGAGCTGCTGCTCTAATTACAGACACGTAGCAGAGAAACATAACTAACGTTACATTACAGTTTGTTTTTTTTTAAAGGAGCACAAGAACAAAACAAAACTGGCTTTTGGTCATTGAAGCTTAAGAAGAACCACTGCTTGCTTTTTACTCAAGAGGGAGCATGAGAACATGAAAATAACTCCAAGCTGGGTACATTTTCAACCCGCTACAGCACATTTTGAACTACTCCATATCGTTCTGCTTTTGCATTTTTCTCTAGAGAGAAAAGAACGTATACCAAAAGTTGTGCCTTTCTTTGTAACATGTGTTTCATACAAATAATACGTAGAAGCACTTCTCTGAACCAGCAACTGATAAGAGCTAGTTTTGACAAGTTTACATTGCAATAAATACCCTTGGATGCACAAATACTGAAGCACCAGCACACACAGGTATGGCCACACCAATTCTACTGAGCAACAAACAGAGCATTCTTCCACATGAACATCAACAGTGCAGGAAATTCAAATGAGTTCAGCAGGACCGCTGTCAGATGTGTCTCTGCAAGATCAATACCACCACTTGCTCTAATATATGAGTCACGTTTCACCGTAACACTTGTTGTAAATTAACCTGTAATCTTTAGGTAGACTGATCAATGGGAATGTTCCTATTCTATGAGAAGCTCCAATTCAGCCAGCAGGATTCCAGCATACAATTAGCTGCCACTTGTTCTCTGTCCAGCTGACAAACTGCTTTCAAAACAGAAAGATCCTTATAAGCAGTCAAGTTAGTGAAGATGCTTCTTTCCACTGAACGTTCTTCTAAGATCTTGTGGCAGGCGATCATTTTCAGAAGCCCTGATAACATCTTTTCAAAGAAGCATAAGAGACAAAGTGAAAGAAAAACTCAGAATTAAGAAAAACCTGACCCAACCAGTCATCAGGACATCAATAACCATCAGTGGACAGCATCCCAGTGAGATATCAAAGAGAGCTGCACTTCATGCTACTCCATTTCAAATCTGACAGATAAGCTTGTCACCAATACTCCACCCCACTTGGCGGTGGGAGGAGGCTCAGTGAGGTCAGTTTGCTTTCAAGTTCTTCACAATCCAACAAAGATACAAGACTGGCAAATTCAGGCCTGCTGAATGGGAAAGTAGAAAAGACCAAGAAATAAGCTACAAACTGAGCAGGATTCTATGCAAGCGGCATTCAATCCAGAGACTGCCCTACAGCACATACAGCACTTGAGAGAACGCAGACCTCAGAAGTGATGTTACTGCCACATACCCCTACCTCTTCCAGTCTGCCTTTTAAAGCAAAGTGGATCATAGCTTCCAATTTTAACAGTAAAGTATGCAAGATGCAAAGCAAATTTTCCTATCCTTAATTCATGTAGCCTTCTTTGCGTTCATAAAAAAATACAAGTTTTGTTCATATCTGTTTTCTTGGTTGTTCTACTCTGACAAAACTGGCAGAGCGTGGCAGGAATGCTGTTGTGTGTAGGTCAAAAAAGCACACTTTCATATTTTGTTGTAGTGCGATTTATTTTTTCCATCTTGACACTAAAAAACTGTTCTGAGTTCCAAAGACAAACAGGCTGACCTGCAGCAGAGCCCCACGTTACGACACAGCAGCGGAGCTCACAGAGATAAGCAGGGTGTTGTCAATAGCTGTGTAATCCATCCATACAGGTCAGCTGTTTACCACACCCACTGGTAATCCCCACCCAGCAATAAAGCTGATGAGATATACCAGTTTATTTTTAAACAGTTCTTTGCGTAGTCTAACAAGTCATAGGAGAAGTGAAAGCTTAACTGGCTCGACAGTGTACTCCCGTATCTTCACTTGAAGGGCGAGAGCTGTCTAACCACCACCATGGATCTCTCCTCACCTATGCTGCAGATAAGCTCCTAGGAACTGCCCTTCACAACATGTACGAGCACAGAAATGCACAAACAGATGCGTCTCAGTGGCTGCTCAGCTGAAGAGAGTTCTGCAAACCCCTACAGCTGCTCATTATCTGCATGCAGACAAGTGCTCACCCCAGTTCTGTGCTCCTTCTCATGGCAGGCTTCCAGCTGGAGCCAGGATCATTGATGTAGACCACGTTAGGGTGGGCTTAGATTACAGACGAACTGAAGGAGAAGCAACTAGAATTCGTGTTAGCATCAGCCACAAAGTCCAGCTGCAGAAATATATTCCAAAGGATGAAGAGTAGGGAGAAAAACAACCTAAGATCACTCGGCTTAGCAAAAGGAACTTGTAGCTGGATGTGTAAAATGTGTCTCTCTCAAGCGACCAGCAGCTACCTGTCGTAATGCTAACTCTCCCAGAGCTGCACACCTTGCACAGCAGGCCCTCTGTTGAAGAAGCACTGTGTGCCCACTGGATCTAAACATGGCAGGCAGCTCCAGCCACCAGAGGAACAGACAGGAGAGTGTTCCTGTAGAAGGACCCGAACAAGGAAGCTAAGTGTGTTTGCATCACGTTAAATCTTGTATAAAGTCTTGAAGCATGGAGCAGCTATCCAGATTCACAAGCACAAGTAGGACGATGAGGTACCAGTACAATTAGAGGTTTTCAACTCCAGGGACAAGATTAAATGGCCAGATATCTTTGCAAATGTCTGACAGTGGAAAAAAAAACAAGTAGTAATTTCTGATCTCCCCGCTGCAAGTGTCTGTCATCCAAATTCTCAGATTCTCTTTGGAAATTAATTCTTACAGAATAATGTGCTCCAAAACAACTATGCAAAGCATTCTTACAGATGTGCAAACATGGCCGACTGTGTACCAGCTTAAATAAATGGCTGTCTAGCTCACATTGCATCTTTTCCTTCACAAGGAGCACTGATACAGATCTCTCTTCAGCTAGCAGCAAATACACAGCAAATTTAGTGAACAATCAGACCCAAGGCATCTACTCCTGCCAGAATGTACCTGACCCTGGCCAACAATCCAAAAATTAAGGAAGAGTAGATCAGATGATCAGTTGGCCTGATTTTCAAGGGAAACTGACTAAAAGGGGTCAAGAAGTTACGCTGTGCATTTTGATCCCTCTGGAGTCTCATGAACGCAATCTCAAAGAGCGCAGACCAGGGAAGGAGAAACATTACACTAAGTCACGTCATCACAGGCACGAATTCAGCTGGCAATTTCTGCAGTGCTGTACATAAGGCTGAATGCAGGCTTTGTGAAAATGCACTTGTCCTTAACAGGAGAACTTTCATTTGCTGCAGGCATTTGTGTGAAGGAGACTGGTTCAACACAGCTCTGTGTTTGAAGATAATTGGTACCGTTAGCATACTAGATTCCAGTTAATAAGAAGGGATAGTGGTGTCTTCCTTCAACTACAAAACAGTTTCTTACTATTAGTAGTTTTATAGCCTTCATAACGCTGTGACATCAAAACTGAACTCCAATTCCTTTGCTTCTGTTCTCTTTAAGGGAAAATTATGTGAAGATTTGCAGGATGGTAACATTAAGTT